CAAACCACTAAAATAATATGCAATTCTTTTATCCAAATCGGCTTTCGAAGATCTCCACTCACCTTGCTCATTATACAGCCCACCAATGGTGTTGCTTTTTTTATTTTTTTTTTTTTTTTTTTTTTTTTGTGGTGGTTAGCTTTGTGATGGAAGTAATTCCCATTTTTGTCCCCATCTCTAAGTGCATTGGCTCTAGATTACTCTTCCATCCTCCGATACTCCGCTATCTCATCCTCAATAGCTCTACATTGCTTCAACCTCCTACCATCAAGCTTGCCTCCCTGAATTCTGTCATCTTTTTCTCTGCTTTATTTTATTTTTGCTTTTTAAAATGCCTAAAGTCAAGGAATCCCATTTAGAGAAACCTTCAGACATTCTTAGATTCTGCAATATATAGGTTCGACCACACCCCACAACCCCAATTCTCCAACACTTTCCCACAATCCTCACTAGACAACCATATAGCCTCAAATATAAAGATTTTTTTTATTCTTGCTATTTCCCTTCTTTTATAGCCTCTATATTCATACGTTTTTTTAAGGAAAATTTGCGAGGAGGGTCTTTTTAAATAGACTTTTTTGTGATTAAGGCCCTTTTATAAAAAAGGTGGCACAAAAGGTTCTTATGTCATGTTTAGGTTGTGAGGAGGGTCCTTTGACTATTTTCCGGCGTTGACTTTTTTATTTCCCGGCCAAAAAAAGTCACATCTAAGTTCCCTTTTTCCTCCTTCCTCTTTTCTCTCGTTTTCCCTTTTCCCCCCTATTAAACCCTAAATTATGAAAACAATTAACACCAAAACTTCAATTGTAATCCCATAAATTAAAATTGAAGGCTATTCAAAGTAATTCAAGGCTAATCCTCCCCACAATGAGAGATCAGGGAAAAAAAGGAATTTAATGAGTCATGTGCTTTACAACGTGGCTTTTTTTGCCGGAAAATAAAAAAGTCAACGCCGAAAAATGGTCAAAGGACCCTCCTCACAACCCAAACATGCTTTATAAAAGAGCCTTTGTCACAAAAAGGTCTAGTTAAAAGGACCTTCTGATGAGTGTCATTTATGGCACTCATTTGTTCTCTTTTAAGATAATTTTAGATTGCTTTTATAGTCTTTTCTTTCTTTTTTCTTTAGTTTTGCTCTTTATCTCTTTAGTTTACTCTTTTTTTTTTTTTGGTAAATTGAAATTATTATTACCAAAGAAGAAAATTACAACTTTCAAAAGCAAAGTTGTAACCCCAAGCAACACAAGCCTGAACACAGGCAAACAAACCCCCAAACTGCCCCTAGATCCCAAAGTGCCATCTTCTAGGAAGGGTTCACCAGGGAAAAGGAGACAGACCCTGCAAGAAAAATCCAACCACCTTCTATGAAGGGTGCCAGAAAAAGAAAACAGGAACACAAAATAAACAAGCCTATCCTAGACTCAACTGCCAAAAACAAGCAGCAGGACTAGACAAAAAGGCATACAACACAAACAGCACAGAAAAAACAATTACAACACAAGTAGCTGTCTGTCAGAGACAGAACATCTACAAGCTACAGAGAATAAAATATCTTTAAAAACACCAGAAGTAGTCTTACAGCTCCCTGTAAAAACTACAGCATTCCTCTGCAGCCATATCTGATACACAGCTTCAACAAAGCACATCCCTACTAGCCTATTTTTAGGTCTAGGCTTCCTGCAAACTCTTGAGATCCATTATAATTCAACATCAAACTGGTTTACAGTTCTGTCATAGCCAAACACTGCAAGAAGCTGTTTCCAAATGTTGTTACTAAAAGAGCACTCAAAGAATAGATGTTGCACTGATTCCAAGCTCTGAGCACACAAAAAACAGATAGGATCACATTGAATGCTCCAGCTCTGCAATCTGTCTTTCGTAACTAGCCTATTTCTGATAGCAAGCCAAGTAATAAATAAACTCTTTGGAGAGGCAAGATTATTACAAATAACTCTTCTCCAAGTCACTTTGGGCACCTGACCAATAATGCAGTGATAAATCTTTTTAATCTTGACTTTCCCACCATGCATGACAGCATCCCAGCTACCAATACTATCAATGATAGTTCTACATTTGAGAATTCTCTTAAGCACCCAAGAAAATTTCTTGGGAGCAGGCAGACCCCACCAAGGCTTGCATTTGAAATAGTAAGTATGAACCCATTTAACCCAAAGGCTATCAGCCTTATGAGCCAGATCCCATAAAAGCTTGGTAATTGCAGCAAGATTCCATTCAGGGAGAGAAATAAGGTTCCACCCCCCCACTCACTTTAAAAAGACAAACTTGAGACCAAGAAACTAGAGATTTCTTAGAGGGGTTAGCTTTCCTAGTCCAGAGAAACACTCTAAATCTTGATTCAATCTCTTTAAGAATCTTCTTGGGAAGGACAAAAATTTGAGCCCAATATGTCTGAATCCCAAAAAGAACACTCTTTACCAATTGTAATCTACCAGCATAGGAAAGATGCCTTGCAGTCCACCCATTGATCCTGGCAGTTACCTTGTCCACCAAGGGCTTACATTGAACAATAGTAAGGTTTTTAGAAGATAAAGGAACTCCTAGATATCTAAAAGGAATAGAACTAGGAGCAACCCCAATCAGAGCTCTAAGACTAATTTGCTCATCCTCTGATAAGCCTCCAAAATAGACCTCACTCTTATCCAAGTTTGCAGCAAGTCCTGAAGCTTCAGAGAACTTAGTAAAAGCCAGGAAAAGAAGAGAAACAGAACCAACATCTGCCCTAGAGAACATCAATAGATCATCAGCAAACATGAGATGGGTCAAGTTCATTTTCTCACATCTAGGGTGGTAATTGAAGTCTGGGTTCTGCTGTAAGTCAGAAAGACACCTAGAAAGATATTCCATCCCAATAGCAAAAAGAAAAGGGGACATGGGGTCACCCTGTCTAAGACCCTTCCTAGCTGGAAAAGGCTTAGAGGGGGTCCCATTGATCAAAATAGAGAAAGAAACATTAGAAAGACACCCTTTTATCCAACTGATAAATTGAGCAGGGAAACTAAGCTCAGCCATAACAGTTGCAAGGAAACTCCACTCAACTGAGTCATAAGCCTTTTTGAGATCAATCTTGAGCATACACCTTGGAGTGATATACTTATGGCCATACCCTTTAATCAATTCAGTTGCAAGAAAAATATTGTCACCAATATGCTTAGCAGGAATGAACCCAGCCTGAGCATTATCAATGATCTCATGAAGAACAGAAGCCAATCTAGCAGTTAAAATCTTCGAAATCAGCTTATATAGAACAGTACAACATGCAATTGGCCTGAAATCTTTAGCATAAGAAGGATTTTGCACCTTAGGAACTAAGGTAACAGCTGTGCAATTCCATTGCCTTCATAATCTTCCAGTGTTAAAGAAATCTAAAACACTTGCATAAATATCTTCTTTCACTACACTCCAAACTTTCTTAAAAAAGAAAGCATTAAAACCATCAATGCCAGGAGCTTTGGTATTGTCAATACCTTTAAGAGCCAAGTCAATTTCATCAACTGTGACAGGGGCAATAAGAGAATTCTAGGAAGCAGCAGACAGTTGTCTACCCCTTCTCATAGTACTTAGATCAACTCCAGGAAGAGCAGTGGCTCTGGAACCCAACAAATTCTTATAAAACCTAGTGATCTCATCTTCAATAGCAACAGGGGTCTTCGGCAAATCAAAATGCTCATTGAAAATAGAATCAATCCTGTTCTTACTTTGCCTCTGCTTCAAAATAGAGAAAAAGTAATTATTATTACCATCACCAAGCTGCATCCAGTTTATTCTTGACTTTTTCTTGTAAACACTTTCTTGAATACTCACCCAATGCTTCACATTTGCAATGGCTTCCATTTCCTTAGTATAAAGGTCAGCATTCATCACATCATCAGAAATCTGTTGCTGAATGTCAGAAAAATGGTATTGAGCAGCCTCAAGTTTAGCCAGAATATCACCAAATTTCTGAATATTAAGAGATTTTAGAGCACTCTTAATCTGCTTAATCTTGCACCAAACATTACCAGTACCAGCCTGCCAAGTATTCTCAATAATAGACAAGAAATTATCATGATCAACAAGAAAATTAAGAAACCTAAAAGGTTTCCCCTTCCCAAGTCGAGCAGGAAGAATATCATAAGCAATGGGGTTATGGTTAGAAAGAGATGGAGGCAAATAAAGAGCTTCAACATGACCATAACAATTAATCCACTCCTGGTTTAAAAATCCCCTATCAATCCTAGAAAAAGTTCTAGGACCTACATGAGCTTTACTACACCAGGAATAAAAAGACCCTTTAGATTTTATTTCAACAAGGGCTAAATCATCAATACACTGCTGGAAATCTCTAGTCTCATAATCTGAGACTGGAGCTCCATTTAGCCTATCATCAGCAGATAAAATGGAATTAAAGTCACCAGTACATAACCAAGGCAAGAGAGTAGCAGGAAGCCCCTTAGGACCATCCCATAGCTGCAATTTATCATAAATAGTATGGAGACCATAGACAAAAGTAATCAAGATTTGAGTCTGCAGATCTTTAGTATTAAGAAGACAATGAACAAACTGTTCAGTAGAGGCTAGAATATCCAAGGTAAGACAATCAGCTTTCCAGCCCACCCAAATTCTACCTTTAGGAGAGCCAGAATAGTTACAATGCCAAGACCAAGAGCTTCCAAACTTCCTCTGAATATCCATGCATTTTTGTTGTTTAACTTTAGTTTCCAGAATACACACAATGTCATCTTTCTGATCAGAGAGTAACTTCTTAACAGATGTTATCTTCCCAGGGTCATTAAGACCCCTTATATTCCATGAGAGAACTAACATTCCCTCGAAGAGGGATTACCTTCACCCTCATTAGGACCATCATTTCCATCAGCAACATCTATATCATCCCTTTCATGAACCAAAGGAAAATAAGTGTTTGAGCTTGAGACAGGAAAAGAAATCTTCCTATTAGCTTTCATCTTTGATTTTTTCCCAGGGACTTGCCAATCTTCTGACTAAATTTGAGCTTCAGGATTAACCTTGACAGATTCAGGAGCTTTAGTCTCTGCAGGTTTGGTTGTCTTAGGTACCCAAACTTGCCTAACCAGAGGTTGCACAACTGTTTTGCCACCAGTTTGCTTCTTCTTTTGTGGCATGGCACAATCATGCCCCACCTTATTACACTTCTTGCAAAATGGGGGTGTCCATTCAAAAAGGACCTTAATCTCAATCAATTCACTAGAAGGGCTCTCAACCCAAACAGAATTAGGCAGGGGCTTAGTAACATCAACTTCCACAAGAAGTCTAGCAAAAGAAACTCTAAGCTGCCTAGAAGTACCCTCATCAGCACAAATTGGAACACCAAGCAGACTGCCAATTCTACTTAGAGTTTTAGCTCCCCAACAGTTCAATGGCAAATTAGGAATTTTAACCCATAAAGGAATAGTTCTCAATATTTCAGCATGAAAATCAAACTTATCCGACCTAGCTTTAACAATAGCTGGTTTACCAAAAAACATATGAGGACCAGAACCTAAAATGGCATTCTTATCATCAACAGATTTCAAGTTGATTATAAAATACCCCTCATCATGCCAAAATATATATGGTTTAACTATATTACTCCAATTATCAACAACAAACTTAGAAACAGCAGAAATAGTAGGGGAATAACCAACAACATAGAAAATAATAGCATTACCCCATTTCTTATTACCCTCGCAGATATCAACAGAGCTTAGCTTAGCAATCGATTTGCCATCTCTAATCTCAGGAGCAATGAAAGACAGAGAGGTCCCTTTTGCATTGAGCTTCCCTTTGAATAAATCCTTCCATTCTTCAGTGGCAGCCTCAGGAACTTGAATCGAGCTATCAAGAACCCCAGAAGCTTCAGAACTAGCAGAAGGAGCTATCGGGTTCTGATTTTTCTTAGAAACCAACGGAACAGTAACCGCAGAAACCCTAGGTACTGTTCCATTGGATCTAGCTTGAGATTGAGCAATTGAACTTCTATAAGACCTTTCCAGTATCCTTACTTCACCTCTGGATATCATTCTACCAGATGGATGCACCAGATGCAGAGGGGGAGTTACCAGTTCATCTTCTTCAGCAATCGGTTCAGATGAAGAGATTCCAGATTTTTTTCAGATTATCCAGAATCTTATCAAAAGGAGCATGAGTAGAGTTTCGTGGAAGTGGAGTTGAAGTTTTCTTCTTACGTGCAATGGAGAAGGAGGAGCTAGATGTAGACCCAACCTAGCTGCAAATCGCCATGAAAATCACCTTGGAGAGAAAAGTCAACAGAAAGTCAACACAAACTCGAATAAATCAAAACGTTTACTCTTTACTTAGTCGATTTTCCTTTTTCATGCATTTCTTGGTTTATTTTGTTATTTTCTCTTTTATTTGCTTGTTTCCTTTCATTTTTTCATGTTAAGGTCGTTATCCAAAGATTCTCGAGGCCCCTTCCCAAGTTTGGCATTGATTAGGATGCCCAATGTTCTCATTTGAAGCTCAAGTATGGAGAAGTACAGTTCCCAAAGACCTTAGGCCGTGCATTTAAGCCGTGGGGGCACGATTTCTCGTGTTGAACCCACAATCATGGAGTTTGGAAATTGCAAGGTCTAGTGTTTATCAAGACCATTGAGTGGAACGCATGAAAAGCATCGATATGATGGTAAAGAGGGCTGTCCTTTTCCTAGGTGCGGGTGCGCTTCTCTCAGCGCGGGCACGCCTGTCTGATGATAGGCTAAAGTTGTAATCATCCAATAAAAAATAATACCTAAATCCACTAACTATGTAGATAGGGAAGAAGGGTCGAACCACAGGGAAACGAGTTAATTTATTCCTAATTAATCAAAATAATCTAAATTATCAAGTAACCAAATTGTTATTATAAAAGGGAACTAAAGTACTAAGAGTAAAAGTGGGAAGGAATAAAAGTAGGAGGGAAATCAATGAAATAAAAGCCTAGGGCATAGGCTCAGCAATAAACAATATTACAGGGTAAAACATAACAATCAATCATCAATGCATCAATTAATCAGATCATAAAGGGCTTTCGCTACGTATTACAGTCACAGTGTTAATTTACCGGTATTAAATCTCATCTCTCAAATCTCGACTTAACCATTTATAAATTAGTCCGCTAATTGAAACTAAGCCTAAACAACAATTCTCATCTCTCGAATCTCGAATCAATATAGCTAAACTCATACAATTAAACCGGGCCTAATCAAATTCCATAGCATTAAATCAATCCATAGGAAAATAATTAAGCATTGAAAATCAACAATCATAAATTACCCCTTCATATTATTTATTGGATTCCCATAAACCCTAGAAATAAAACTACTCACACATAATTAAGTCTAAATTAAATAAAGCAATTAAACAAGTCATAGAGGAATAAAGGAATAAAATTGCTGAAGTTAATAAAGAAGAAATCGTTACCAAAATCGATGAAACTACAAAGTTGAATCAAGAACAAGAGTAAATGTTGAGAGAAATCTAGAGAGAGAAATAATCAAAGTAGAGAGAGAAAGTCTAAGAAAAGAAGTAAAACAAAAATATAGTACTAAATCGTACTTAAACAAACTCTAAAAACACTCCTAATTAGAAACTAAGAATTCGGCGAAGAAGTCTCCCCAGAAACACGCGCCCGATCGGGCGAAGGGCCGCTCGATTGGGCCCACCTTTTTCTTCGCGTTCTCTTCTAAGCATCCGCGCCCGATCGAGCTAATGCTCACTCGATCGGGCGCTCCTTGGCCTTGGTAGCATCACATAATTGCGCGCCCGCCCGGTGGAGCGAAGGCTTGCCCGATCTGGCCCGGTTCCACCTCGAGGCTTGGACATTGATTTGGCTTTCATTTTTCGGCCCAATCTGGATTTCCTCTTTGGGTCTTGAATACTTGGTCCAAATGCCCTTGTATCACATATACCGAGCCCTTAATCACCGGCTTGATGACTCTAACCGGCCTTGGGCTTAAAAAACGGTCGTGCTCCTCCAATGTCCGTAGTTGCTCCACGAAAACCCGGGAAAATGCTGCAAAAGTGCAATTTCCTTCAAAACTCGAGCAAAACTACAAAAACACTAGAAAACACCAATTAGTAATAAAAGTGGCTCTAAAGAGCCAAAAATACTACTAATTATGACCAAGAGATGGGGGTAAAATACTATATAAATTAGACACATCAAACTCTCCCAAGTCAAACCTTTGCTTTTCCCTAAGCAAAGAGCTCATCAATGAGCATATAAAACACACCTCATCCCAAGTAATCAAAATCAAGCATAAACGATTCAAGGCAAATCTAACAAACATGCTTCAATGTCAATCAATCTCATTCATCTAATCACCCTTCCTCCCCAACAATTGTCAAGTAGAGCAAACCACATGAGCATGTAGAATTCAAGACTAGTGCTCACACACTCAACTCTCATTTATGTGGCGAGTAAAAGATGTACTCGATCGCTCTCCAACCAACCTCTTTAATGTGAACAATACCCTCCCAACTCACACTCTCGCATGTTTAAAAAGATATACACTCAACCTACTAGTCGACTCGAAATATGTCAAATCATAACTTGCATTGATAAACAACACTTTCACATTCATACAACTCTATGCACAACGGTCGGAAGGTCTTTAAAGCTTGTGATGTAAGGCTAGGGTAAAGGGTAGGATACATTTAGGAAAATGTGAAAGAAAAGCCATGCTTAAGGGAGCCATATCCTAACAAACCCAAGGTCAAAATAACAATGAACAAATCATCTCCAATCATAACTTAACGCTACAAAAGTTCACCAAACAATCCCATACATAACAACAATCCCAACACTTACACATTAACTCACAAAAATATGATAATAAAGAATTAAAGTGAAATAAAACAAACTTCGAACTCATTCTTTTTTTTTTCAAACTTGATATTCTTTTTTTTTCATGAATTCTTTCTCTTTTTTTTTTCTTGAGCAACCTTCACATAGAACATTTGAAACAAATTTTTTTTTCTTTTTACTCTTTTTTTTTCTTTTTATCTTACATTGAGAATTTTCAACTTTGAAACACAAACTATCAACATTTTTCCAATCACAAAATCAAAAGAACAATCACTCTTCTTTTATTCCCACATTTTGCAAATAATATGCACATAACAACTCCCTCACCTCACCAACTAATAGCTCCCCCAAGCCAAGCTTGGGACTAGTAACCAATGGGGCTCATATAGGCTTGTATTGTGGCTAAATAATCAATAAAAGGGCATAAGCAAAAACATGGGTAGCAAGAAGGGAACAAATGTGTCTAATATCGTCTGAAGGCTACCTAAAAGAACAAATGCCTTCGTCCTCCTCAATGTGCATAATATTGAGCCATACAAACATTACTCATAGTTGCAAACCAATACTCAAATTCCTTGACATACCAGGACCTATAACACATTTCCTAATCAAATCAACTAGTCAAGCACTATATTCACAAACAAATGGAAAAATTGACGCATGTTTAGGCATCCGAACAATTAAACTTCAAATCACGATCAACAAATTCACAATGCTCATTATCATATACCAAGAATTAAAACAATATTTTTCAAGTATGGGACACAGGGAAGCATGATTTACAATTCATTAGAACGTATTTTTGGATTTTTTTTATTCTTTCAATTTTTTTTTGTATTTATCATATACGAAAGCAATAAAAACTACACTAGAAAGCAATTGAATCTATACTAGAAAGCAATAAATAGAGAAAAGAGAGAGAGAGAGAGTTACCATATGTAAAAGATCATCTCCCCCCATGTCTCACCCCCATGGGTTGGACCTAGTTAAGGCCTCCTAGGTAAGCAAGATCCTTTAGGGTAGAACCCTCTACTTTCCTATGGCCGGTCGGGGTGAAACCTAGATGTTTTACCGTGATGTGAGTAACCAACCCCCCAAAATAGATAGGTGCCCTAGACCTACCCCCCTCGACCGCATTGGCCACCCTTTGAAAGTGTTGGGCTATCCTATGCAGTATGATTAATTTTTCGGCACTAGGAATCTTATAGGAGGCCAACAACTCTAGCTCATCCCTCCTAACATTAGCCAGATCATACCTCCCAAAGATGGTGAGGCCAAAAAACCGTTGCTAAAATTTTGGCACGGGATGTTGAATCCACGTCCCCTTGGCATGTTGGAGGTTAGTTAAACCCTCCCATGTGAGTTTTCTATAGACCACGACAATATGGTCTTGGGAAGGTTCAATGGGTTTATCCGATTTTAGCTCAAACAATTTACCAAATTCTTTCAAAGTCATACACACATCATTATTAAGCAATCGGAATTGAACATGAGTAATCAAAGAATTAGTTTTAATCACATTGAAACTAGAAATAAATTCCAAAGTCAAATAATCATAAGTGTCATAATGCATTTGAAAAAAGCCACTCATTCCAATACCCTTGAATAATTTTTCTACCAGTTTATCAAGTCCTAATCTAGATAATGTAGGGTGATGTACAAAGCGAGTAGAAATTACCTGCCTCTCAATGAGGTTAAGCATCCTATTCCTTTGTTCGGTTGAGGTCATCACCACTTCGCTCCACCCCGGAATTTTGAGTTCTAGGTCAACCATTAGTTGTTGTTGTTGCCTCGAACTTTCACCACTTTGTTGCCTAGATCTCTTGGAAGCCATTTGAGTATGAAATTTAGGATTTTCAAGATTTATCTCTCTCAGGGTTTTGAAAAATTTTGAGAGAAAGTGGTAGAAATTTAATGGAGAATGTAGAGGAAGGTGAAAGGATGAAGAATATGTAAAACATTTTGAGTTTTGATGGATGAATTTGAGGAGATCTTAGAAAGAAAGTGAGGTTGGATGTTGCATTTGCGCGCCCGATCAGGTGCGAACTCGAAGAAATTTTCGCCATCGTGCGAGCTTCACCCGACAAATCTTTTTCCTTCACCCGATTTCTCCAAAAATCAGCTCAATCGGGCGAATGTCCCTTGAATTTCCTTCCTCACATGCGCGCCCGATCGGGCAATCCTCGCCCAATCGGGCGAGATAAAGCTCTGAAA